TGGAGTTAGTTGATGACAGCGCTCCCAGTATTCCTTTTCAGAACGTCTGGCGGGCACAAACATCGGCCCATTCTGATTACGGGCAGTTCGGTCTCCTTATACATTCTCCATGTATTATACTTTGCCTGGTTTCACGTGGGACGCCATGCTGAAACACACGCGCGTAAATTTCGAGCTGCTCACAGACATCGACATGGTCATGTTTGTGGAACGCGGTATACGCGGTGGTTTGAGCCAGTGCTCGAACAGGTACGCTCGAGCCAATAACAAGTACATGCAGTCTTACGATCCATCGAAACCATCCTCGTACCTGATGTACTTTGATGTCAATAATTTGTATGGTTGGGCGATGTGTCAACCACTACCATATGCAAATTTTCGATGGATCGAAGATATTACGAATTTCGACGCGAGCGCAATCGCTGCGGACTCATCGACAGGTTCCATTCTCGAGGTCGATCTCGAGTATCCGCAGCATCTTCACGACGCACACATTGACCTACCGTTCTGTCCAACACGCGATAAGCCACCCGGCAAGCGGCAGGATAAACTTCTCGCGACAGTGTATGATAAGAAGCGTTACGTCATACACTATCGCAACCTGCAACAGTGCACGCGTCATGGGCTTCGCGTGACAAAGATACACCGTGTATTGGAGTTTTCGCAATACCCACGGCTCCGCGATTACATCGAGCTTAATACTCAGTTTAGAACACGTGCGACAAACTATTTCGAAAAAAATTTATACAAATTAATGAACAACGTGGTATTTGGCAAAACGATGGAAAATGTACGGAATCATGTCGACGTTAAACTTCTAACAAAGTGGGATGGTCGTTACGGTGCGGAGGCAATGATCTCGAAACCAAATTTTCACAGTCGCAGCATCTTTTCAGAAAATTTAATCGCCGTGGAATTGCGAAAACTCGAGGTGAAATTCAACAAGCCAATCTACGTGGGTATGTGCATCCTCGACATATCCAAGATCTGCTTGTATGAATTTCATCATGATTATATTACCGATGTAACGTGAGCAATGTAAAATCATGTATACCGGATACCGACAGTCTCATATACCACATCGAGTGCGAGGATTTATATGAGACGATGAAACGCGATATACATATACGATTCGACACGAGCGATTATTCTGCAGACAACGCGTACGATATACCGCTTGTAAATAAGAAAGTGCCTGGTTTAATGAAGGATGAAAATAACGGGGCGATCATGACCGAATTCGTGGGACTCAGAGCGAAAATGTACGCTTTGAGAGTAGATGGTAAGAAGGCGAAGAAGGCG